GAGTGAAAATCTGATTGGCGATTTTCTAGAAGCCTTCGTCTTTTTGACAGAGATGGAGATGGTGTGTATCCTTCTTCTGAATTGAACTATTCATCTGGTGTTTCATAATTTTCTGTCTGATGTTTGCATGCTTTGTCCTTCAATTTGTTATCTTTTTTACGTCTTTTTTCTATACTGATTTTTATGTTTAACAGTTGTACTATTTCATATAATATATATTGGAAAAAAAGGTGCATAACCATGGAAGGAACTAGGTAGTGCAATTAGGGCACTGAATCAAAATAATCCCAGGAAGGAGGAGCTGGAAATGATGGTGAATGAAGTGGACATGGATGGGAACGGAATGATAGAATTTGAGAGTTCTTGAATGTCATGGCCAGGAAAATGAAGGTGCGTGTAGTCGAAGAAACTTGGAATTTAATTGTTCATTAAATGAGAGTAATGGTGAAAACGGACGCTAATTATGCATGTGTTGGATGGATGGATGGATCGAGAAGCAAAGTGAATCAGAAGATGAATTGAAAGAAGCTTTCAGACTGTTTTGACCAGGATCAAGATGGTTACATATCACCCACAGAGGTTCACTTAACTCCTTAAGGAAGCATGCATCTTAATTATAATTAATTTGTTTGACCACATACGATCCAGTAATTAATAACCATGTTATAAATATGATTAATGTTTATGTACAGTTGTTGTCTGTGATGAGAAATATTGGAGAGGAAGATCACAGAAAAAGAGCTGGTGGAGATGATCAGAGTGGCTGATTTGGATGGTGATGGTCGAGTTAACTATGAAGAATTCGTGAGGATGATGGCTTTTGTAATTTATTTTTCGTACTACATAACAAATGATCAATAAATGCAACATTTTGTTTTTCATGAAACAATGCAAATGACATTCTTGTTTGTTATTTGTAAATTCATAGGAAATAAGTGAAATGAAAATTGGTAATAAAAGTCAGATGCTATGATACATTTTTTGTGAAATTTTCCTGTGGTCCCTTATCTTATTTTTGCATTTTAACTTGTACATTGTGAAATCATTCAGTGAAAAAAAAGTTATGAAATCAGTATATTGTCAAGATATTAGCAATATGTTAACGTATAAATACCATCGGTATTCTACAACTTAAAACTTAAGTTACCACTATAATAAAAGTTATTCACTTTTAATTAAAAAAACTTCATATACGATGCTAAAAAATCTTTAATACGTCACCGGTATAAATTTGGTCAATTACTTCTCCACATTAAGGTCTCATACTATCATAAATACTATGTAAAATATACATAATGATATTTTATAAATATTTTAAACTCCTTTATGTTAGACACAAGGACATAATGATAATTTCTAAGTATTTTAAACTCATTTATGTTAGACATAAGGACAATGATATTTTTATAAATATTTTAAACTCATTTATATTGGACATTAGGACTTTTTGAAGTTCACATCAAACGTGTAAAAAATTGATGTAAAAGTCGATTTTTTCTTCCTAGAATTTGGGCGCATGTTTCTCTTTCTTTTCTCGTATTCTTATTCGGTTGCGGCACAACTGGGGTTTGTGGTGCTTTTGGTGGACATCTTTGTAATCTGAATTCATTCTTGTATCCGGTTTATGATGGTGAACATTTATCTCTAATTCAATTTTTAGAATATTTGTAAGTCAAATGTTTGAAGTAGAACTTTATATCTCAACTTTATAATATTGTTATAATACTTTAATGTTTTTACTAAATTTGCTTCATCTTCTAATTATTCTTTAATTTCAATCATGAAAAAGAGTCTATAACGTTATTATGTTCATGTTACAAGTAATAAATTTTAACCTTAACAATATACGGTAATATTTTTGTAAATATTTTATTTAAATTGATATCAGTGGTAAATATTAATATTTAATTTAACATAATTTAACAATTATAAAAAAAACTCACTTTAAGATTTGAATATTTATTTATATTAAAACAAAATAATAAATATATATATATATATAAGTGCATATCTCTCTTAAAAAGAGACAATGTCTATGTCAAAATAACAGAGTTAAAAGATTCTATTTGTTGTTCAGAATATCCATCCACTCTTATGATATGTTTACTTTGGATTTGAGGAAAAAAGAGTGACTAGATTTGATATTTAAAAATAAAATTTATAAAAGTTAGTGTATATTTTGATCGATATAACACATAAATTTTTTAAAATTATTTTGAAATATTAAAATTAAAAAAATTAAAAAATTAAAACAAAATATTATTTAGAAAGTATCATTATTTATTTATAGAAGGACACTAATATTTTGAATAATACTTTTATTTTTCATGTCAACATTGGAAATGATTAAACAAGGATATTTTGTAAAATGTTATTTCTTCCCTCGCAAAATTTCCTCCATATAAGTCGATGAGATATTAACTTATCCCCCAAATCAATCATTTTATTCAATCTGAAATCCTTACAATTGAACACCAATAAATCCTGAAAATCCATCTTTAACATCTCTTGAACGTAATGGTGTTGAAACGAAGACAGCATGAAAGCTTCGATAATCTGGGGAATTCCCGTTCATGGATATTTGTTCCTCTACTCCACAATATGCATGTACTTGTCAGTTATAATGGTTGCCTCCACCACGTGGAGTATAAGCTAACCAGAAGACGAAAACAGATATGTATGCCGCCAACACAAGCAACCAGACCGTGTTGTAGTAAAGCTAACCAATTTTATTATGATTCAGATTTTTTTAAAGCAAGATTCGAAGTGCATTGCCTCCAACCTTCAATGGCTTCACCGTCTTAAATGATATTGTTAAATTTATTTCAATGGTTAAACAATGACTGTACAAACAAATTCCTTATAATTCTTTTGCTCTAATTAAAAGATAACTTACCTTTAAGAACTTTAAGAAATCAACAGTAATTGAATTCAACATGCTATAACTGAAAAAAAAAAATTCTCTTACATTTGAGACATGGGATAATTTTTATTCTCATCCGCACATCTTCTTTTCTCCTTCAGAGAATCTTCTATTCGCGTAAGTCATCTTCTTCTCCTCATGGATTTACCTTTTCACAAGTGTTTTTCTATATCTGTAAGTTGATTTTCTCCCAAGTCATTTTCAATTTTGTTTTTCATTTGAAGTTTCAAATTCTGATAAACCCTAATTTCAATTACTTTCTGATGTGTTTTTTTTATTCGTAAGTTGATTTTCTGCATTCCATTCTTCAATCTCAAGTTCCTCACATAGGTAATTTTTTTAATTTGCGCAAAGAGAAAGGGTAAGATAAAGTAATTGATTTGTTTTTTTATAGGTAATTTTGTTTTATCTGCTCAATTCTTAAATCAATGATAGTTTTCTTTTCCATCTAGTTATCGCGGTTCCAGACGGATTAAAGGCATGGGTTCCGTGGCCTCCTCTAAGTAAAACAACGAATGCAGTGAGAGATTAAGTGAGGCTCAAGTAAGTTTCACTGCCTCTATTTTGCCAAATTTGTCTTTTATTGTGATTCTTACAGAGTCAATTTTCTTGGAGTTTGGTTTATTGAGTGTGGAGTGATTGACTTTTAATTTAAATATATTCTATATCTGAAATTCTTTCTAAAATTTTCACTCTGCATGAACTGAGTGACATTTGAAGAAATGCAACTTAAATTTTATTGCACAATGCATGAATAAAACCACTTCACTTGAAGAAAATATCCTTTCTAGATCAGTTTTGCTTCTGAAATTTTGCAAACTCTTGTCTGGTGCACTTGTACATTGCCAATTTTGGTTGTTTATAGTACATACGTGTAACTATGCAGGACGTGCCCCAGCTGAAAAGTTCTAAACAGAAGAAAATTGATTTGGTGAAGCATGAAAAGTTTGCCAGATTTGAAAGTGAATCAACTAAGATTGATACTGAAACAAAGGGTATACTAGTTTTATTTTACACTTGGATAAGAATGTGTTTTTTTTTATCTTGTTTTAATGTATTGACTGTTGTGCTATCTGTTAAAACATTTGTTAATAATTGTAACATTTGGAAATCTTCCAAAGCACCCTGATGAAAACTGTAGTCTTAATGGTGGTACCCTATTAGTAACCTTTCTGAGATTACTTCTGGCGAGTTTTCTGGCATAATTAGGATAAGAGTGTTGCCTGATTCTGACCCTAAGTAAGAGGTAATCCTCAATACGTTCAGCTCTTGTTATCCTGTCTCTGGGGATGCAGCATTCACAAATCCGTTCTGTGTAAAGTATAAATAGGAAAAGAAAGGGTGGGAGGAGTTGTTAATGGCTAGCTCACCCTCTTCACCAAAGATTCAGGAGCAGATTTTGTGTTTGGTGTTTCTATGATCATCATTACAATTGGGGTACTTCCTTTATGGAATTGCGGTGCTTGCAAAGATTGATCCAGCTTTGGGAAGGAAGTACAAGCCTCAAGCCTATTCATTTGTGGCAGATTTCAGGAACTTGGGAAGAAGATCAGACTCTAATTACATGCGTTTGAGGTGCTTTGATCTGTATAAACTGCACTCTTGGGCAGGAGGGTTAACTGAATTTGCAGATGGAAGAAATCAGGAGAGTACTAGTGAAGCTGTGAATGCATATTATTCTGCAGCATTGATGGGTCTAGCATATGGTGACACTCAACTTATTGCCACTGGATCAACACTTGCAGCATTGGAAATTCATTCAGCTCAAATGTTGTGGCATTTGGGAGAGGGACATAAACTGTACGAGGAAGATTATACAAAAGAGAACAAGGTGGTAAGTGTTGTGTGGGCTAACGAGATAGTGGACTACTCAGTGGAGAGAGTGCAGGCTTGTATTCATGTTTTACCACTGTCTCCTATTACCGAGGCCTTGTTGTCAGATGTTGGTTATGTGAAGGAACTTGTAGTGAATCCAATGACCCACATACTCATCTTTAATTATTTGCTTTGGATTTTTCTTCTTTTCTGAAACAGCATTTGTACTGTTTTAACTCTTCTACAGCCAAGAGAAAATAGTCCAGAACAAGATGCTAACAAGACTTTGAACAGCCACAGTGCATCCCTGATTACCTATTCTGATTGTGAGGAAGAGGATCTCATTCCAATGAATAATATTGTGAATAAACGTACGTAAGATAGTCAATAATAAGATGAGTTATATTGAGTTTAAAGCAAGGTTTTTGTGCACTCATACTTCACTGTAAATTGTTTTTTTTTTTATCCATGGATTGTATGCAGCTCAAGAGATGAGACAGCTAACGCCATCAGCTTATAACTGCTTCATCAAGTAATGATTCAATGAACAAAGTTGTATAGCACTCATAGTTCAAACTTTGAATTCTAATGAGAGTACTAGTTTAATGCAGAGAAGAGATTAACAGGCTAAAGGCTGAGAGCCCTGACATGGCTCACAAAGAAGCTTTTAGTACAGCTGCAAAAATGTAAGGTCTAATTTCTTAGTTCAACTCGTTTGCAAATTTGGTAGTATTATAAAGTTGGTGAACCATGGATATTGGTTAAAGAACGGTGCTTTTCTTAAGCATTACCTTGAAAATATTTGTCATTTTCACTGGGCCAATTTTCCCCCAACTCAGTGCAAAGGAGATGATCAAGAGAATTGCCAGACATATCAACTTGTGGATCTTGACTCCCAAGTGGACCCTCCTAATGTTGAGGTAAAAACATAACCAACTTCTTCATTTAAATCAAATGCTTCTCTCATATCTGAAACAAATTGCTTTAGCTGATTAAAAGTAGTTATTAGGAGGAGATTCTTTGGTAGGACACTGTATCCATCTTTAGAAGTTGCATGTCCCTTTCCTTCATATCACAGGAACATTAGAAGTAGGCTCCATTAATTCAATAGCAAAGACTTATTCTTATGTTGGTCGCCAATTGGTGTGACATTGATACATTGAACCGTTTATGAGAATTTTTGGTAGATTCTCTATAAATTATGATCGGTACAAGATGTTGATTAACATGGTATTCTAAATGTATACAGAATGCATTAAAACTTTAGCTAAATGGAGTTATTCCAAATGACAAGGAGAAACTTGACGAAAAGGAACTAAATGGCAATAACACTGAAGTACATAAGACGACACTGTAACTTTAACACAATTACAATGGAGTGATTCTTGTAATGTAATGTCTGTAGCTAGTCAATTGCTGACACTGTCCATGATATGTGTTACTTTTCTAGAGTAAAAGCAGATGCAGTTCACTTCACACGCATCTTTAAGCCTATTTAATATTTCACCATTCTGTGAAATTTTCTGGTCAATGAAGAAGAAAGGTCAAGGTTTTGTGTCTTAACATTAAGGTTGCCTCTAAATCATTTTCCAAATGAAGAAAAGATGCTCTTTCTTGGTAATGAAAATGAATGAAGTAGGATTAAGAGCTCACAATTTGAGACTTTGAGAAGTGCTTAAATTGATAGTTTTATATGAAATTAGTCATCTGGACCACAAATGTGTTTTTGTTTTTTGTTCAGGTAAATGTTCTTTTGTTGAAGAGTTGTTTGAAAAGACCATTAACAGTCTTTTTTAAATTATTCATTTTATTAAAAAGACCTTGTTTAAATACATAGCTGTTTATAATTTTTTTTAATAAAGGTAGTATATTTAAACATTTTATTATTCCTGTACATAAATTTTACGGACGCTCTCCTTCTTAACTTAATAACATTCACCTAATATTGGATTTATCCTTTGTCTTTTATTTGAGCCACCCAGTTGGCTTAAATAAAAACCTGGAGAATATGATCGGTACAGTCATTGATTGTTATGGACAATTATAACCCTCACTAATATTAGAATAATTTTTTTTTTAAAAAAATAATGATTTTTCTAGCGGTTATAACTCTCATTAAACATTACATGAATTTTTAAAAAAATTAATTTAGAGGCAGTTAAAACAGTCACCAAATATTGACTAATTTTTTTTAAAAAAATTATGGTTTCCCTGACGATTGTAACCTGGTTAAATATTAGATAATTTTTTTTAAAAATAATTTAGATGTAGTTAAAACTAATTTTAGTAATTTTAATGACAATTATTTTGATAATTATATTAAATCGATGCTATGATGCTTTTGTGATGCCAAGTTCTATGTGAGTTAACTTAGCGGTTAAAATCGCCACTAACCAACAATTTATGACATGAAGAATGAATTCTTTTTAGTGAAATCACAAATTATAAAAAATGTTATTAATTAAAATGTAATTATTTAAGATATTTTAACTTTCCAAACAATTAAGTTCAATTAACATCTACATGGAAAATACAAATTTGAATCTAAATAAAAAAGTGTTATCAACATTAAATTATGCAACAGAAGTAAAAAGAATAATTTTTTTCGTCAATAATGTTTGATCTTATTTTTATAAAGTCAAGCTAGTTTTTTTGTGTTTTTTCCAACTACAACCTAATAATGTGGAATACTGGTTAATGGAGTAACTCATTATTATCCCTATAAATGTAAGAAGATTGATTACATAAATAATTAAAATAAATAAATAAATACATTTTAGTATCAATGATATTATAATTAAATTTTGTAATAAACAAAGTTTTAGAGAAGCAAGCTATGCTTTAAATTTATAATAAATACGTCATATTGAAATATACGATTATATATATAATGTTACGTGTACTATGTATAATGGATAGATACTACGCATTAACGAAAGTTACATCACAAAAATATATTAATTTATGAACATTTTCAGTATCTTATTATTGTTTAATTTAAAAAAAAATTGATATGGTTTAATAAATAGATTCATAAAATGTAGTTTTATATAAATTTATCAGAAATATAACATTAAGTAAATATATACTGGTATAATTTGATCCTTCTCATTATATTATAAAAAAAATACGAAACGTGGTATATAAATTCTATTTTAGAATAAAAAATTATTTTTTAATACAATAAAGTTAAGTTTTACTATTAATAATTTAAAAATATCTAAATTTCTGTGGAAAGAAGATAAAAGAAACAGAGGTTATTATTTTCAAAAATGTTCTTATTAAAGAAAAAAATAATATAAAAACAATATGATAAAAAAGTAACTCTAATTATAAACATTCTCATTCAAAATAATTATTTTAATTTATATATACCAAGGATTTTTAAAACTAGTTATTTTATCCTTTTAACCTTCACTGTTTTTTAGTTTTATTCTCATTTTTTCCGTTTTACTCCAGACATTTAATATTTAATTTCAGTACAGTATATTTTATCAACTGATACATTAAAAAGAATATTTTCTAATACTCTGTATTAACATACCAACGACTACATATAAGCCTCAATATTTAATAAAAATATCTATATATATGTTTGTATATATATATATATATATATATATGTTTGAATATATATCTATATATATGTATATATATATATATCTATATATATATATAT